ATCATTTTTTAAGGGTAAATTTGTCAAATTATATTTTACATAATCTCATCTATAGTCCTCCACATTTTATAAAATAAATTTTTTCGTCCCTCATATTTTATAAAATGATTTTTTTCATCCCTCACATTACACAAAATGAATTTCTCCATCCCTCACATTTCAAAAAATGAATTTTTCATTTCTCACTAATTATGTGTGTGAATACATTTTATTAAACACACACACACACACACATATATATATATATATATCTATTTGATTTTGCTTAATAATAATAGTATAAACACATGTATGTAATCGGGTCCAACTTGTGGGCTATCTTCTCTTTTTGTATGATTATAACTAATATTTACCAATAGAACCTTAATTTGCATATTCTTATTGTATTTTGACCGAAAATAGCTTTATTTGTATACAGGGTACAGCAGCCAGGTGCAAAATGATTGAATTATCGCACACCTCTTGCTTCCAAAGATGTCCTAGAATCTCCTTAATGGAACACAAGTCTTTGAAACAAAGTTAGCCCATTTAGACTGCTTTTCGCAGAGACTACCAATCAGATAGCCACGCTGACTGGCATTTGACCATCTGGCAGCGTTTCTTTCCATAGCATGGCTCCAAGCTCTTTCAAGCCCTGTATTAAAGAACCACATTGAAGATACCTACAGTTCCCCAACCACCACACAGAATCAGGATACATAACGACCATTAAGATAATTATTAATGAGAGACAAAAACAGCCATATTTTGTTCTTCAAATAGCAAAAGCGAAATTAGAACATTTACCAACTGTCAATGTCAATTCAAAATCAACCATTGTCTTTGGCAATCTATTACGTCACTCAGTGACCATTATAAGCTGTAATCTCCCCTCCTTTGACTATATTTACACGGGCCTGCGTAATTTCAACGATTGTACAATCTCCTGAGCCAGACGAGCAGTACAGTACCTCCTAAAAAATTTGCAAAAACTGGTCAATTTCACATTCCCTCAAAAGTACAACTGTATCACACCACATTTTTCATAAATTTAACCCTGCCACCTCCAATGATCAATGTCATAAATTCCCTCATAAACCTATATAGAGCACACTTACGCTTATATACTGGTAAAAACAATATCAAACGGCATTTCTTACAAAAATTAAGCCTACTTCCCGGAACTTCATCGTACCAAATTACTCATAAACATATACCATAAGCGTACAAGTGTAGGTTATACCGGTAACGAGCGTAATCGCCAAACAGCAATCCATGCTGCATCTGAGCGGATTTCAAGAGCTGCAAAACTGTAAATTCACCAAAAAAAAACTAAATTATCACCTCAAAATTAGCTGTCTAGAGCTTTATGGGAGAGTAAATTACCATTGATAGAGAACCTAGGGCTATTAATCTGATCAACGGATTCCGAATTCTGGTTGTCCACATCCATAGCAGAGGAGTTGTTCTCTTTGGCCATATCGTTAATGTGAAATCTCCGTCAGATCTTAAATTTGGCGTCGTCTTTATCGGAATTAGCCCGACAGCTTGAATGTAGGTGGCTTGAAAGATTCTGAAGATGTCCAAAATGCCCCTGGCTTGTGGCACACTGCCGGCGGCGGGGTTTTCTGGTTTAGTCGCTGAGTGAACGTAAATGAAGCCTGTTTGGTCTCGACATAAAAATCCTAGTCTCCTCTGCGTTGTCTACTGTTTAAAGGATTATGACAAGTACTGGAGTCTAATGTGTAATTCAAATTGTTTATGGGTACGTGGACAACAGACTTAAAGCCTAGGGGTCATTGTTAAATTTATCATAGCTTACTAATTTCGTCCATCATTTATATGAATTTAGTATCCACAACTAGTTTCTTCATTTTATTTAGTGAAAATCGTCCAAAACGTCCCTTACATTTTGTAAAATAACTTTTTTCGTCCCTCACTTTTAAAAGTGTAATTTTATATCCCTTACATATTCACATCGGACAAATTTAGTCCCTAACTAGGTTTTCGATCATTTTTTGGCCGGAATCCATCATGTGCAAGGCACATGATCATTTTTTAAGGGTAAATTTGTCAAATTATATTTTACATAATCTCATCTATAGTCCTCCACATTTTATAAAATAAATTTTTTTGTCCCTCATATTTTATAAAATGATTTTTTTCATCCCTCACATTACACAAAATGAATTTCTCCATCCCTCACATTTCAAAAAATGAATTTTTCATTTCTCACTAATTATGTGTGTGAATACATTTTTTTAAAAACACACACACACATATATATATATATCTATTTGATTTTGCTTAATAATAATAGTATAAACACATGTATGTAATTGGGCCCAACTTGTGGGCTATCTTCTCTTTTTGTATGATTATAACTAATATTTACCAATAGAATTTTAATTTGCATATTCTTATTGTATTTTGATCGAAAATAGCTTTATTTGTATACAGGGTACAGCAGCAGTGCAAAATGATGAATTAATCAGCACACCTCTGCTTCCAAAGATGTCCTAGAATCTCCCTTAATGGAACACAAGTCTTGAAACAAAGTAGCCCATTTGACTGCTTTTCGCAGCCTACAAATCAGATAGCCACGCTGACGTGCATTTGGTCCATCTGGCAGCATTTTCTTTTCCATAGCATGGCTCCAAGCTCTTTCTGCTGTATAAAGAACCACATGAAGATTCCTACAGTGTCCCCAACCACCATGCAGAATCAGGATAGATTAACGACCATTAAGAAATTATTAATGAGAGACAAAACAGCATATTTGTTCTTCAAATAGCAAAAGCGAAATAAAAACATTTACCAACTGTAATGTCAATCAAATTCAACCATTGGTCTTGGCAATCTATTACCTCACTTCAGTGACCATAGAAGCTGTAATCGCCCTTTTACTATATTTACCACGGCCATGCGTGAATTTCAACGACTTGTACAATCTCCTGAGCCGAGCAGTACAGTACCTCCTAAAACATTTGCAAAAACTGGTCAATTTCACATTCCCTCAATAGTACAACTCTATCACACCACATTTTTCACAAATTGAACCCTGCCACCTCTAATGATCAATGTCATAAATTCCCTCATAAACCTATATAGAGCACACTTACGCTTATATACTGGTAAAAACAATATCAAACGGCATTTCTTACAAAAATTAAACCTACTTCCCGGAATTTCATCGTACCAAATTACTCATTAAACATATACCATAAGTTGTACAAGCGTAGGTTTATTACACCGCGTAACGAGCGTACATCGCCAAACACCAATCCAGCCTGCATGGCATCTGAGCGGATTTCAGAGCTGCACAAACTGTAAATTCACCAAAAAAAAAAACTAAATTTATCACCTCAAAATTAGCTGTCTAGAGCTTATGGGAGAGTAATACATTGATAGAGAACCTAGGGCCTATTAATTCTTGATTCAACGGATTCCTGAATTCTGTTGACCACATCCATTCAGCGGAGGATTGTTCTCTTTGCCGTATCGGTTAAGCTGAAATCTCCGTCAGATCTTAAAATTTGGCGTTCGTCTTTTATCGCGAATTAGCCCGACAGCTTGAATGTAGGTGCTGAAGATTCTGAGATCGTCCAAAATGCCCCTGGCCTTGTAGCACACTGCGGCGGCCGAGTTTTTCTGGTTTTAGTCGCCCTGATGTGAACCGTTAAATGAAGCCTGTTTGCTCCTCGACACCAAAATCCTAGTCTCCTCTGCGTTATGTTCTACTGTTTAATGGATTATGACAAGTACTTGGAGTCAAATGTGTAAAAAAAATAGTCAAATTGTTTATGGTCGTGGCAACAGACTTAAAGCTAGGGGTTCATTCGTTAAATTATCATAGCTTACTTAATTTCGTCCATCATTATATGAATTAGTTATCCACAACTAGTTTCTTCATTTTATTTAGTGAAAATCGTCCAAAACGTCCCTTACATTTTGTAAAATAACTTTTTTCGTCCCTCACTTTTAAAAGTGTAATTTTATATCCCTTACATATTCACATCGGACAAATTTAGTCCCTAACTAGGTTTTCGATCATTTTTTGGCCGGAATCCATTATGTGCAAGGCACATGATCATTTTTTAAGGGTAAATTTGTCAAATTATATTTTACATAATCTCATCTATAGTCCTCCACATTTTATAAAATAAATTTTTTCGTCCCTCATATTTTATAAAATGATTTTTTTCATCCCTCACATTACACAAAATGAATTTCTCCATACCTCACATTTCAAAAAATGAATTTTTCATTTCTCACTAATTATGTGTGTGAATACATTTTTTTAAACACGCACACACACATATATATATCTATTTGATTTTGCTTAATAATAATAGTATAAACACATGTATGTAATTGGGCCCAACTTGTGGGCTATTTTCTCTTTTTGTATGATTATAACTAATATTTACCAATAAAGCCTTAATTTGCATATTCTTATTGTATTTTTACCGAAAATAGCTTTATTTGTATACAGGGCACAACAGCTGTGCAAAATGATGAATTAATCAGCACACCTCTGCTTCCAAAGATGTCCTAGAATCTCCCTTAATGGAACACAAGTCTTGAAACAAAGTAGCCCATTTGACTGCTTTTCACAGCCTACCAATCAGATTGCCACGCTGACGTGCATTTGGACCATCTGGCAGCATTTTCTTTTCCATAGCATGGCTCCAAGCTCTTTCTGCTGTATAAAGAACCACATGAAAATACCTACAGTGTCCCCAACCACCACGTAGAATCAGGATAGATTAACGAACATTAAGAAATTATTAATGAGAGACAAAACCGCATATTTGTTCTTCAAATAGCAAAAGCGAAATTAAAACATTTACCAACTGTAATGTCAATCAAATTCAACCATTGGTCTTGGCAATCTATTACCTCACTTCAGTGACCATAGAAGCTGTAATCGCCCTTTTACTATATTTACCACGGCCATGCGTGAATTTCAACGACTTGTACAATCTCCTGAGCCGAGCAGTACAGTACCTCCTAAAAAATTTGGAAAAACTGGTCAATTTCACATTCCCTCAATAGTACAACTCTATCACACCACATTTTTCACAAATTTAACCCTGCCACCTCTAATGATCAATGTCATAAATTCCCTCATAAACCTATATAGAGCACACTTACGCTTATATACTGGTAAAAACAATATCAAACGGCATTTCTTACAAAAATTAAACCTACTTCCCGGAACTTCATCGTACCAAATTACTCATAAACATATACCATAAGTGTACAAGCGTAGGTTATACCGGTAACGAGCGTAATCGCCAAACCGCAATCCATGCTGCATCTGAGCGGATTTCAAGAGCTGTAAAACTGTAAATTCACCAAAAAAAAACTAAATTATCACCTCAAAATTAGCTGTCTAGAGCTTTATGGGAGAGTAAATTACCATTGATAGAGAACCTAGGGCTATTAATCTGATCAACGGATTCCGAATTCTGGTTGTCCACATCCATAGCGGAGGAGTTGTTCTCTTTGGCCATATCGTTAATGTGAAATCTCCGTCAGATCTTAAATTTGTTGTCGTCCTAATCGGAATTAGCCCGACAGCTTGAATGTAGGTGGCTTGAAAGATTCTGAAGATGTCCAAAATGCCCCTGGCTTGTGGCACACTGCCGGCGGCGGGGTTTTCTGGTTTAGTCGCTGAGTGAACGTAAATGAAGCATGTTTGGTCTCGACCTAAAAATCCTAGTCTCCTCTGCGTTGTCTACTGTTTAATGGATTATGACAAGTACTGGAGTCTAATGTGTAATTCAAATTGTTTATGGGTACGTGGACAACAGACTTAAAGCCTAGGGGTCATTGTTAAATTTATCATAGCTTACTAATTTCGTCCATCATTTATATGAATTTAGTATCCACAACTAGTTTCTTCATTTTATTTAGTGAAAATCGTCCAAAACGTCCCTTACATTTTGTAAAATAACTTTTTTCGTCCCTCACTTTTAAAAGTGTAATTTTATATCCCTTACATATTCACATCGGACAAATTTAGTCCCTAACTAGGTTTCGATCATTTTTTGGCCGAAATCCATCATGTGCAAGGCACATGATCATTTTTTAAGGGTAAATTTGTCAAATTATATTTTACATAATCTCATCTATAGTCCTCCACATTTTATAAAATAATTTTTTTCATCCCTCATATTTTATAAAATGATTTTTTTCATCCCTCACATTACACAAAATGAATTTCTCTATCCCTCACATTTCAAAAAATGAATTTTTCATTTCTCACTAATTATGTGTGTGAATACATTTTTTTAAACACGCACACACACATATATATATATATCTATTTGATTTTGCTTAATAATAATAGTATAAACACATGTATGTAATTGGGCCCAACTTGTGGGCTATCTTCTCTTTTTGTATGATTATAACTAATATTTATCAATAGAACCTTAATTTGCATATTCTTATTGTATTTTGACCGAAAATAGCTTTATTTGTATACAGGGCACAGCAGCTGTGCAAAATGATGAATTAATCAGCACACCTCTGCTTCCAAAGATGTCCTAGAATCTCCCTTAATGGAACACAAGTCTTGAAACAAAGTAGCCCATTTGACTGCTTTTCGCAGCCTACCAATCAGATTGCCACGCTGACGTGCATTTGGACCATCTGGCAGCATTTTTTTTTCCATAGCATGGCTCCAAGCTCTTTCTGCTGTATAAAGAACCACATGAAAATACCTACAGTGTCCCCAACCACCACGTAGAATCAGGATAGATTAACGACCATTAAGAAATTATTAATGAGAGACAAAACAACATATTTGTTCTTCAAATAGCAAAAGCGAAATTAAAACATTTACCAACTGTAATGTCAATCAAATTCAACCATTGGTCTTGGCAATCTATTACCTCACTTCAGTGACCATAGAAGCTGTAATCGCCCTTTTACTATATTTACCACGGCCATGCGTGAATTTCAACGACTTGTACAATCTCCTGAGCCGAGCAGTACAGTACCTCCTAAAAAATTTGGAAAAACTGGTCAATTTCACATTCCCTCAATAGTACAACTCTATCACACCACATTTTTCACAAATTTAACCCTGCCACCTCTAATGATCAATGTCATAAATTCCCTCATAAACGTAAATAGAGCACACTTACGCTTATATACTGGTAAAAACAATATCAAACGGCATTTCTTACAAAAATTAAACCTACTTCCCGGAATTTCATCGTACCAAATTACTGATAAACATATACCATAAGTGTACAAGCGTAGGTTATACCGGTAACGATTGTAATCGCCAAACAGCAATCCATGCTGCATCTGAGCGGATTTCAAGAGCTGCAAAACTGTAACTTCACCAAAAAAAATTAAATTAAATTATCACCTCAAAATTAGCTGTCTAGAGCTTTATGGGAGAGTAAATTACCATTGATAGAGAACCTAGGGCTATTAATCTGATCAACGGATTCCGAATTCTGGTTGACCACATCCATAGCGGAGGAGTTGTTCTCTTTGGCCGTATCGTTAATGTGAAATCTCCGTCAGATCTTAAATTTGGCGTCGTCTTTATCGGAATTAGCCCGACAGCTTGAATGTAGGTGGCTTGAAAGATTCTGAAGATGTCCAAAATGCCCCTGGCTTGTAGCACACTGCCGGCGGCGAGGTTTTCTGGTTTAGTCGCTGAGTGAACGTAAATGAAGCCTGTTTGGTCTCGACATAAAAATCCTAGTCTCCTCTGCGTTGTCTACTGTTTAATGGATTATGACAAGTACTGGAGTCTAAAGTGTAATTCAAATTGTTTATGGGTACGTGGACAACAGACTTAAAGCCTAGGGGTCATTGTTAAATTTATCATAGCTTACTAATTTCGTCCATCATTTATATGAATTTAGTATCCACAACTAGTTTCTTCATTTTATTTAGGGAAAATCGTCCAAAACGTCCCTTACATTTTGTAAAATAACTTTTTTCGTCCCTCACTTTTAAAAGTGTAATTTTATATCCCTTACATATTCACATCGGACAAATTTAGTCCCTAACTAGGTTTTCGATCATTTTTTGGCCGGAATCCATCATGTGCAAGGCACATGATCATTTTTTAAGGGTAAATTTGTCAAATTATATTTTACATAATCTCATCTATAGTCCTCCACAGTTTATAAAATAAATTTTTTCGTCCCTCATATTTTATAAAATGATTTTTTTAATCCCTCACATTACACAAACTGAATTTCTCCATCCCTCACATTTGAAAAAATGAATTTTTCATTTCTCACTAATTATGTGTGTGAATACATTTTTTTAAACACACACACACACACACACATATATATATATATATATATATATCTATTTGATTTTGCTTAATAATAATAGTATAAACACATGTATGTAATTGGGCCCAACTTGTGGGCTATCTTCTCTTTTTGTATGATTATAACTATTATTTACCAATAGAACCTTAATTTGCATATTCTTTTTTGTATTTTGACCGAAAATAGCTTTATTTGTATACAGGGCACAGCACCAGTGCAAAATGATGAATTAATCAGCATACCTCTGCTTCCAAAGATGTCATAGAATCTCCCTTAATGGAACACAAGTCTTGAAACAAAGTAGCCCATTTGACTGCTTTTCGCAGCCTACCAATCAGATAGCCACGCTGACGTGCATTTGGACCATCTGGCAGCGTTTTCTTTTCCATAGCATGGCTCCAAGCTCTTTCTGCTGTATAAAGAACCACATGAAGATACCTACAGTGTCCCCAACCACCACGCAGAATCAGGATAGATTAACGACCATTAAGAAATTATTAATGAGAGACAAAACAACATATTTGTTCTTCAAATAGCAAAAGCGAAATTAATACATTTACCAACTGTAATGTCAATCAAATTCAACCATTGGTCTTGGCAATCTATTACCTCACTTCAGTGACCATAGAAGCTGTAATCGCCCTTTTACTATATTTACCACGGTCATGCATGAATTTCAACGACTTGTACAATCTCCTGAGCCGAGCAGTACAGTACCTCCTAAAAAATTTGCAAAAACTGTTCAATTTCACATTCCCTCAATAGTACAACTCTATCACACCACATTTTTCACAAATTTAACCCTGCCACCTCTAATGATCAATGTCATAAATTCCCTCATAAACCTATTTAGAGCACACTTACGCTTATATACTGGTAAAAACAATATCAAACGGCATTTCTTACAAAAATTAAACCTACTTTCCGGAACTTCATCACCCTAAAACCATAAACATATACCATAACGTACAATGCTTAGGTTATACCCGGTTAACGAGCGTAATCGCCAACCGCAATCCAGCCGCCACTGAGCCGATCAAAGCCGGCCAAAACAAATTCACCCAAAAAAAAAAACTAACATTATCAACCTCAAAATTAGCTGTCTAGAGCTTATGGGAGAGTAAATTACCATTGATAGAGAACCAGCGGCTATTAATTCTGGATCAACGGATTCCGCAATTCTGGTTGTCCACATCCATAGCGGAGGGAGTTGCTCTCTTGGCCATATCGTTAATGTGAAATCTCCGTCAGATCTTAAAATTTGCGTCGTCTTTATCGCGAATTAGCCCGACAGCTTGGAATGTAGGTGGCTTAAAGATTCTGAGATGTCCAAAATGCCCCTGGCTTGTGGCACACTGCGGCGCGGGTTTTTCTGGTCTTAGTACCTGAGTGAACGTAAATTGAAGGCATGTGGTCCGAACATTAAAAATCCTAGCTCCTCTGCGTTGTCTACTGCTAATGATTATTGAACAAGTACTGAGGTCTAATGTGTATTCAATATTGTTTTAATGGGTACGTGGACAACAGGACTTAAAGCCAGGGGTCATTCCTTAAATTTATCATCGACTTACTAATTTCGTCCATCATTTATATGAATTGTAGTATCCACAAACTAGTTCTTCATTTTATTAGTTGAAAATCGTTCCAAAACGGTCCCTTACATTTTGTAAAATTAACTTTTTTCGTCCCTCACTTTTAAAAGTGTAATGTATATCCCTACATATTCACATCGGACAAATTTAGTTCCCTAACTAAGGTTTTCGATCATTTTTTGGCCGCGAATCCATCATGGTACAAGGCACAGATCATTTTTTAAGGGTAAATTGTCAAATTATATTTTACATAATCTCATCTATAGTCCTCCACATTTTATAAAATAAATTTTTCGTCCCCTCATATTTTATAAAATGATTTTTTTTCATCCATCCCTCACATTACACAAAATGGAATTTCTCCATCCCTCACATTTCACAAAATGAATTTTCATTTCTCACTAATTATGTGTGTGAATACATTTTTTTAAACACACACACACACACACATATATATATATATATATCTATTTGATTTTGTTTAATAATAATAGTATAAACACATGTATGTAATTGGGCCCAACTTGTGGGCTATCTTCTCTTTTTGTATGATTATAACTAATATTTACCAATAGAACCTTAATTTGCATATTCTTATTGTATTTTGACCGAAAATAGCTTTATTTGTATACAGGGC